AGTTAGGAGGGGTAGAGGTAGACCTAGATTAGATTACTGTTCGCAAATAGTTAAGGATGTGGGCTGTTCTAGTTTTAGGGAAATGCGAAGTTTAGCTCAGGATAGGAAAGAGTGGAGGTACGTGTGCAACCAGTCTTAGGACTGATGACCTAACGATGATAAGTCCTTCCGTCCTGACTTATCTGACTTCCTAGATATCTAAAATCAGCCACTTCTAACTTGATGAAAAACAAAATTAAATGTATAGAAAAACAATGTAAAGATTTTCACGGAAACCTTTAAATCGAATTTAAAAAGCTATTTTTATGTTCTTAATATTTTATCTAGTTTGACCTACATAGATAAAACACTAGCCGTGTGTCCGAGCAGCTTCGTCTGCTTGGAATTTTATCAATTTTAAACTAATAAGTTTATTAACATGAAGATATATGTCGTCACGAATACTTTTATACGTTTTTTAATTTAACAATTAATGTGGTGAAGATGTATACGTACATTCAATACATTTTGATGTATTGATTTGATTTCTGATCCATTTTTCTTCATTTGTTACACTTCTACTTCCACTTCCCCTTTCACGTTTGTTGGCAACTTCTAAGAAGCTGGCAATAATTAATAAAAGTACGAACGCCATATAACGGTTTTTACCAATACCCCAAGCTTTTCCCTCTGAGAAGTTTTTCCAAAGTTTCGTGTCAAATCTCGAGTTAATTAGTGTCTTCCAAGTTGGAGTTTTACCCCGAAAAGTACGGCGTGTCGTTGCTACTGTTAATACACATGTACCGTCATATATTTATACGCATGGACGAGTATACGTACTGTTTAATGATGTAGTTTGCTAATTAACAGCAAAACTTGTAGACATAAACCTCAATTTGTGATATGTCGACATAACACGCATCAATTTAAATCAGGACGAAACATCCTAGACTTGTTGCAAATGTGCCAGAATCACACTTTTCAATATAATGACTGCATGATTGTATTCTCGCATTGTCTATCATTCAATTAAATGATCTGTGCATGCCGATTTAATGCCTTTAGTTTCAATTAAATGTATGCATTTCCTAAACAGCACCTAATGGGTTTAATGTTACAAATGTTCAATTTTTTAAGCTCTGAATTAGGCAAGGACATACAGAAGCTTCTTATCAAGCTTCAAGTCGTATAGGGATTAATTTCAATAAGCTTTTGGAGTTTCTAGTCTCGTAAATTTGAATTTGTTATAGCATCATTTTAATCTTTAATTACTTGATTAAGACTTTTCGACAAATTGTGTACAGTAGTATCAAGTTTAAATCAGCTCGATTCGTTCAACTTCAAATAAAATCCGGCATTTTATAGTCTATATCTACCGGAGTGTTCTAAAAAAGCGACGAATCCGGAGACTCCGGCTTTGCTGATTAAATAAAGAGGTCTTGAGGGAACATTTATTGGGGGTGGTGTGTATAGAACAGTAAATTTTCCAATAAACCCTTCACAAGCTCTACTTTATTTTTGTGTAACGAAAAAGAGAGGAGAAGCTCCAGTATCAAAGAAGGATAAAGTGCATTCTGGCGTATTTCTTAAATAAATTGCGTTCACGACACTGTATAACCTTTCTGAAAAGCAATTTATTTCTGACGCTCGAACACTTTCAAACTTCAACTTCGTTTTATGTATTCATCAGCTAAATCATCCGCCTTTCATGCAGAAAGTAGCGGCACTTCCAACAGAAACACTACTTGTTTATATTTCTGTATCTGTTCCGATAATTACTCCATATATCATCCATATTTCTTTCATAAAAAGCTTGAATTATAAACTTCTCATCTAGTGAATACGAAGAGCTGTTGATATTTCCACTAATAATACAACAAAAATATGAGGCATTAATACCTAATAGTATGGTTCACATTAAAATCTAAATTAAATTGTTGTACGATTACTTTTGGTGTAACAACATGCAGTTGATTCCGCGTATAACGATGACGAAGGGGAACCACTGTAATGTCGTCGTTTTATTCGGACGTCGTTACAGGCAAAGGTAAAGAGATACAGACACGTACTGTCCATTTCAACTTGTTAGAATTGTGACCTTGAAAAAATCTGCGCGAAGATAGACAGAATACACATTAGGCGTGAGCAAAACAGAAATAGTTGGAACAAGCTTGAACAAGCAGAGTTCTCGATGGGCGGTCTTAGGAGATCGGCTGGAACTGTACAGTACTAGACGAAAATGTTTAGCAATTTCTTAAAACAAAAATGTATATACATAAATTAACAATAGGAAACAAAGCAAAAGTTTTATAGGTGTATAGAACGTTAAGTTAATCCACTTGTTACTATTTTTGGCTAAATATGCTAATAAGCATATTTTTAAATTTTAACAAGGCAGTTTAAATAATTTTGCAAATGGCACTGTACACTTTTGTCTAGCTCTCGCTCGATGATCGGTGAAGAAATGAGCTACGCAGACAAATATGAAAGGGAAAGGGCATATCTCTAACTTCTTGAAACGAACAGTATGTACTGTTTTCACCATTTTTCAATTTTGAAGCGATTTCCGCCTTTTTTTAACAGCAAATGTGCATCTAGGAGTCATACTTATTCAATATTTTACCAACTCAGTTGCTACTTAAAATATCACTTTGTAACTGAACCATTTTAACGTACACGCTTAATATCTATCTACCTGACTAACATCTATCAACAAATGTGAATATAAACAAAATATAAGAAATCTCTTTGCGTCTTTTGCGATCTATTTCGGTCGCTATATCTGCATGGGATAACTAGGGATTTGTACAAATGGTTCATTAAAAACAGTCGCTACACCCGAACTCGGCATTACATCCGAAGTCGCTATAGACACATGAATTTTGTACTAAAATATGCTCTAAATTCGAGGGACTTAGATTTAATGTCGCTATAGCAAAATGGCCGCTATAACCAAGGTCGTAATAAATAGAATCCACTGTATTTACATGTTTTACAGTGATTGGCTTGAAATAATTATTTCTGAAAAACAAGAAGCTATTGATTGATCCATCGAGCCCTTTATACTTTATAGCATGAAGTTTTTAATTACATGTTCCGTAACATTGCGTGTAATAGTGTAATGGTGTCATACAATTATCTACCCAATTAATCTTTCCACTTACTTGCGTAAACTCATCGATTTACCCTGAATTTTCGTGATAATTTAAATTAATTTAAATAAAATTATTGATTCATAAACCAATTAAGTAACAAATATTAATGTGAAAATTCATTTTCAATTTTCTTATCCACTACAAACTACCTCAAGTTAATGAGGGAAAAATTTTTGCTGCTGTTGTCGCACTGATAAGAAAATTGAAATTGAATTTTCACATTAACGTTTCGTACTTATTAATCACTTTTAAAAATTAAAAAATGTCAAAGTGGATGTAGTAATGATATAAAGGTTAATAAAAATTATTTCATCGAAAAATGTCCTCTTTAAAGCAATTACCTAATGGACGTTTTTAACCTACATGTCTATGTAATGCTTGTTAATTGTACATAGAAGGAGGTATATGATCATCTATAGAGGGTGGGATGACCGAGCGTCGTGGTCTAGAGGTTTAGACCATTGCTTAGCATTCGGGAGGACGCCGACTCGATTCCGGATCTATCTGCATTGATCCAAGTTTTTCTGCGATTTGCTTGGATCATTTAAGTAGTTTAATATTCCACAAATGATCTTTCATTTTCTTCTGTTTTCATTTCGTCCGTCTCATCTTTCTCACCCGAACCACCACCCACCCAATCCCACGATTCCTGAAAGGCTCTACCTTACGGCGTAGTCCAGGGGGATTGCTCGCCCACCAATATTCGTAGGGACAAGGGACGGCCTAAGCTTAAAGTCCCAGGACGTCCCATTATCCTTATTAGTCGCTTTTAAAATACAATTACTTTTTATAACATATTAACGACATTTCATTGAGTTGAATAAAATATCTTTTTTGATCTTTTCAGAGTGCCAACCCGTCCGAAAACTGCTCCCCTAGCAGTAGCCCCAGTCCTCGCCCTAGAATGACCATAAACTCGCAGTCGGGCCCAAGATCTACCCGACCTTCCGAGGACTTGATCACAACGGCTACTTCAGCGCTTAGAAGGCTACATTTCAAGACTGGCCGGGGAATTACCAAAACGAATGCCAAAACGCAGGTATCTCCATTTTCATATTTCTTTTACTTTAAATATAGATATAAGTTAACAACGTTAGTTTTGCAAAGTTGGCAGATTCGATAATTTTCTTTCTTTAGTTTTTCATCATTAAGGGTTTGTTTCTATTTCTCAACCGTGTGCTATCCGGACATATGAACAATGAACTCTGCGCCAGCAATTTTAGGTACCAATAGTAAAAAAAAAGGAAACTTTGGTTTGCGTTTTGCTGAGGATATTATCCGAAGTGCAAGTTACATTTTCAAAACTCTGTTCTCATTTCAAAAATTTTAGACCTCCAGGTAGATTTAGTAATTGGTAGTTCCTTTTGCTTCCAGGCCCAAACGCCGGTTCCGAAGGTGGTCCTGATGGGCTCCAGCACGGCTTCAGAGACAACCATTAATACCAGCACTGACAGTTCCAACACCATGATTACAACCATGACCGCAACCGACGGCGAAACAACCGATTGTCATGACAGCCTTGAGATAAATGATTCTTTCGACATATTAAATTTAGATAACAACCAGCTGGAAGGTGGTAACGCTGAGAGAGGCGCGCATTGTATCATTCCCGTGACAATGTCCCCGAAAACACCTACAACCGTCAAACATGAGCGTCAATTTACGTTCGACGTCATGAACGTCACGGCGACGACGCCGCAAACTGCATGCTGCAAGAAGAACGACACCTTCGTGTTTGATACGCTGCTCCAAAATGACGAAATTTGTATGCAAGAAGAAAAGAGTGTTGAAAAGCTTATGGAAGAACATAAACATGAGGTAAGTCATTACCAGTATGAATTTTTGTTTTTTTACAAATAACTTATTAAGTCTAAGACATCATGTAACGGTAGGAACTCGGGAAATTCTCGGCTAAAGCAAGAAGTTGGTCGCGGGAATCGTGTGAGCAATCGTCCAATATGTCGAGAGCTTTCATTTACTATTATGGTAGATGTAGGTACCTAAAACCTACTCCGTATGTTCCAATATAAAAATTTAAAAGCTAAAAAGACCCTTTGAAATACATACTTTCACATGTAAAGCCAAATGACCCAGGAGTGAGCACCTGCAGTCGAGAAATATTGAATTCAAGAATTTTAAACTATTTTTTGGTTAAAGAGAATTGAAATCCAAGTTGGATATTCTAGTCTTACACATATCGATTGCTATCAAAAACACAATCGCATTAACATTGCTAAGGAGCTCTTGGACTCTCTCTGCGACGACCCAAATTCCAGAATAAGTACATTAATATCGTCGAAATCGTCAAATAAGCGATAATAGTAGGACGATTGTGGCTGTAAGATTTTCAGATTTGTCTCAAAAATCTCCAAATATTATACAAAGCTGAAAACTTGAACTATCATCATATCGTCGTATATATGAGGGCTTTCCGAACTTATTTTTGTTGTGTCGCCCTTGGGAATTTGTAATATTTGTAGTGCCGACCTAGGGCGTCACGGCGCACAGTTAGCGAAACCCTAGTATATATTATTAATATTTAAAGAACTTAAATGTTATGTACCTCTTTTTATTAAAAACCAGGCAGTTAATCCATGCAAATTTGGTGTCTTTCTGTCTCTGATTTGCGATTCACTGGCAATACAATAAATTCAAAAGTGTAAGGTCATGTTGCGTACCTATTATTTGTATAAATTGACGCTGTCTCGTCGCAATATTTACCTCGACCTGATGTATTTACCGCTCCAGAAGCGTGACCTCTGTTAAACAGTTTTCACGGGTCCACAATATTTACTAAATACGCATTTACGAAACTACCTCCAGGTCGGAATAATTAATGAACATATTAGGTGTAACCAGATTTTCGTCGGCAAAGCTAATGTAATTGCTGCTGTGTATATGTAGAACAAACGCCGGATTAAGCTTAACACAATAAGCCAAAAATCAATCAAAGTAACCATCAGTGAGCTCTTCAGCAAAATCTAACCTGAAACATCAATTACACAACGTGCAAAAACAGGAGAGGTTAATTTATTTTTAATTAGGCATTAATGTAGCCTGCCTGCACAACCCCCTTACATTAATGAGTTTATTTTACCGAAGGTGTGACCTTTTTGGTAAAAAAATTAATGTCAGTGGACCGAATGAAAATGTATTCCCTCTCTTCTTGTGCCTTACAATTAGATATCACAAGATTTAAGTTCAAACTAAATAATATATGATCATTTATTTATTCGTATGAGTTTATTATAGGGTTGTTCGGAAAGTCATTTTTTCTTTTGTGGAAATGAAAGACAGTTTTCGTATAATAAACAAATACTTTATTAAATTATATATTGACCGTTCTGGTCCAACACCTTTTGCCATCTTTCTGGTAGTAGCATAATTCCACGCTCATAAAATTTTTGGTCTTTGCTGGCAAAAAACTGATCGAGGAG